AAAAGTGGAGAAGTGGTGGAGTGTGTGTGTGCTTAGTGTTAGAAGCAGTTGCCTCATCTTTCCCTGAAGTTCAGTGTGAATATGAACAGGAGCAGGGTGGTGGTACAGACCTGTACTAGCTACTTCTCCTTGTTTCGAGATGCTTTAAAAACTTGGCTTTTCAGGCCATACTGACCTCAGCTAATAAAACTGAGCAACTTTTAACTAAAAAATGTTTTTGTCTTTTCACCTAAGCTAAAAATGAAGAGTCAATTTGATTATTCTATCCAACTACTTGTCTCCTTTCCAGCAGAACACACACTGCAGTCTCTTCTGGCTGTGATGCTGCTAAGGCCCTAAACCCAGGTCTTTCACAGCATTTTATCCCCATGTAAGTTGCTCTCTCCAACAGGTTTCCACTGTTTTTTGATGAATATCAGTGTGGAGGGCAACCATGTTAAGTAATGAGCAGAAGAGCAAAGGTTTTCTGTGTAACTATTTGGTGTAAAATGTTTTTAAAAGCAAGCACATGAGGGATGTATTTGTTTAAAAAATCTCCCCCAAAACAGACTTCATAAAAAAGACTTTTCAAACACTACCTTTTTCAAGGCAATGACTCTATATGTGCAATCATGTGTATTATAATTGCTAAGAGTGAAAAAAAAAAAAAAGCAAATAATTTTGAGGAGCAATTACTCAAACCCTTTGAAAAACAGCTCGGGAAATGCTCAAAATTATAATGAGTAGAAACAGCCTAAGCTCTAAGAAGTTTATCTTCGTCTCATCCACGCATTCCCTCTCATGTTTAAATCCCTAGAAATGCAGACATACGAAATTGATTGCCAAGGTTTGTGCAGAGCTCATAGTTTAATTCATCTCTCTCCAGCAGATGTATCATGCCGGTGTTTTGTTATTGATCCTTGGGAAGCAGCTACCACAGAGTGGACATTGCTGGAAGTCTGGACAGTCACAATACCCTTAACACACAGGAGAGCTGTGCCCTGAATCAAATAAAGGGCACTTGCAAGAGTACTGCAAAGACTGGAACCTGAAGAATTATGAAGGAAAAAAATCTAATCCCTCCCCTTGGTTTCCAAAGCTCCAAAGTTAAAATTTGGTCCTATTTAAACTTAAAAGCATTCGCTATATGCAGGAAGATATAACCTGAATCCAAAGGAGTTTTCCTTCTAGGGCTTTCAGGTACAGCTTTCTGCATCACCTTTGCTGGGCAAAGTGATGCTTAGAGCAGTCTATTACATTTACCCAGCAACAGTGATTTGGATTAATTCCTTTGGAGTCCATGCTGTCTCCATGAACAGTAAGGGCTTGTCTTTTCAGTCTTGCTGTTTAGGCAGGAGCACAGGTCTCTGCCTGTTATCCAGCTATCCTTGCCTTGTTCTGTGTTTTCCCCTAACGCTGCCACAGTAATGCTCGCTGTTCTTAAGCTGCACAGATGTGTCACAGCTTTAGACTGAAGTGCTTTGGTCATACTGGCTTTTGCCCCAGAAGGACACAATTATCCACACACCAACAGTTCCCAAACTGTGGCCTGGAAAGCCAGTGAGAGCTCTGTAGCAGCAAGCTGCTTTGAAGCTTGAACTATAGACCTGAGAGAAATTGAGGATTAAGATAGTTGCCTGTAGTCCAAAACATTTGGGAACGAAGCAACTTAGAAATAAGCTCAAAAATGAGCTCATCATTCTTTTATGTCAGTCTCTCCACCCCTCTGCTTAACTACCACAGCTGCAAAGTTAAGCTAGTCCACTTCAACTCCTGCATTTTCCCAAATGATGGGATACCACTCACCTGTAAAACACCGTGAACAGAACAGATAACCAAAGTTGACTACAGCAGCCATGGTATAAACAGCTACAGGTCCTGTCCCCCTGCAGAGCTGTACCAGACTCTCATATCACGTTGGGAACGCATCAAGCGCAAACTGAGTAAAGTCACACAACACCTTCACCTCTTCATTTAGTTAGATTCTTTTGTTCAGGCTGCTGGAAACATTATGACTCAACTACAGGGTTAAAAATAAATGCTTTCATCACTGACTCCTAGTTCAGTAGAGGAAAACCACTCTAGAAAAGCCAGTACAGTCTCTGTGCAACCCTTCTGCCAGCACTTTGCTGCTGTTATCACCAACCAGGTGCAGCTCCACTTGACCACCATCCTTCCTGCAGGCACTCATGATTGCCTATAGTTCAGAACTAAAGCTGTTTGACCAGTTGTTCCCAACATTTGCAGCTTTCATGTCCCCACAGCTCCTTCTTGGCTGCAAATGTAATCTGCCTTTAGCAGACAGCTGCTCAGTGAGAAGTTGAAGGTTCTCAGTGGACAGCCAGCAGGCTCATTGTGTGATCAGGACTGTGCAACAGTTTGTGTTTTCACTCAACTTCCTAAAATAAGTCTTAATTTTTTAAAAGGAAAACAATTTATTTTGGCAAACTTGAATGAAAAACTTCCTTGCAACAGGGCTAGGAGAACCTCAAAAAAATCAGCTTACGTTTCCCATACATGCTATTAGCAGCTCTCTCATTGAAAGAGTTCGGTGAACTGAAGTAGGTTTTGGCCCAGTGCTCTGATTCCTTGAGTATTGCAGCATTTCAGTGAATTCTGACTTTGGGTGAATAATGCTGACTTCCTTGAAATTGCACCCTGTGGACACAGGAACATCTTCTACTAATCTCTTGTTGAGTTTGGGAAGATTGCAGCAAGGCCAGGCCATTGGAAACACAGTCTTTCAAGCAGAAAGGGGAGGAAGGATCCATTTGCAAAACCACTCTTTCATTCGTTACCATGGAATAAGAGATAAGCCCAAAACTTTTCATCTTTTGCCTTGGAAGAGCTTGGGAGGTAAGAAACAATTTGTCCCTGAGCTTAGAGAGGAGACTTCAGTAGTATCTAGGTTGGTCGTATTTCAAATAAGGAAAGAGCCACTTTGTTTTCTTTCTCTGGAATTGCAAGACTGACATTTAAAAGAAGCTGCAGTGCACAATTAGCCAAGCATTCAGCTATCAGGATGTGCCAAAACTGAGGCTTTGCACTTGACTTCCACTCCACATTCCTCACCTCTGGGAACCAGTATTATGATGCTATTTACATAATCACAGAATTTCCCTAGTACGACTGTATGCTTTTCCCCATGCACCATCAAGCTGTGTCTATGTTATATCAGGAAGTAAAGGCCATGTCAAGGACATACCTAGACTCACCAATAACAGAGGGAGATGAGAAAAACAAAGAAATCTGAATTTTGGAGGGTAGAGAGGATTAATTCTCACTATCTCATTTTTCTTTGCAAAGAAACCCACAGTGAAAATAAACGGAACAAATAAACCCTTAAATTATAGCCAGTAATTGGAAGAAAAACACTTACTTATCTAATGTCTGGTGGTACTGGAAATGGAATCAAAATTATTTAGTAGACATTTGGTATCTGTCTTAAGGACTATTACAAAGTAATGCATATGCAGGTTGCTCTCCATCTGCAGAAAATGCAACTAAAATGTAATCTGAAAAGCAGATTTTTCCTAATGCTACTAGCTTACAGTAAGAAATAATGAAAACACAACAATAAAAAAAGATGAATCTCAGTTTTCAGTGAGTCCATAAGCAGGGACCAGAGTGGGAATGATGAGCAGGGATAGGGAGGTATTTCAGTGGCATTGCTGCTTTATGTTGAACCCTGGTGTGAAGTGGCAAAGACAGCACGATTCAAAGTGAGGAGGAAAGGGACAAGCACACACATGTAGAAGCAGAAAGGAGGGGAAAAGCAGCCTAATCAAAACTAACAGCAGGATTTCTGCTCGCGCTTCAAACTGAGACAGATAAAACCCTTCATTTTCAGTTCTTGAAAGCAAACCCCTGGAGTTCATGTGGAGAAGTGCTCTGAAAAGAACTACCAATCCTTTGAATTCAGTCATTTGTTGAAGAACTAACCTCCTTCCACCTCCCTGAACATCTTTCCCCATTCTCAGTCATTTACTCATTAGTAATACTATTATACACTTACTGACCTTTTCTATGACAAACTCAAGCATTCAGTTCCGTAGTCTGAAGGCCCATTACCCGTACGCATTTTAGGTGACTTCCCACCTCCTCTCTCCTCCCCACTTTGAGTTCTCTGTTGCTTGAACCACATCTTTTCAGAAGCCTAGGTATTCACCTCTTCCTTTTTTTTGTTAGAAGCTACGTGCACCTCTCAGCTTCATGTTGCTCATTTTAGTCTGATGAAACCACTTTTTCCCTCAGGCATATTTTACTAATTTAGGGTCAGCATCACAGAAGCCATTTGGGAACTGAGATAATATGGACAGGCATCTAAGTGAGACTTAGAGGAACCTCCAGAAAGTCTGGACAGCCCCTTGAAAGTCAGCAACTCTTGAACTTGACTTGTTCAGGCACTTTGGTGTATTGCGTCTGCAGCACATTCATTTTGGTACCCAAATATCACTAGGGCCAGACTCACAGTAACCAACAACATACAGGAAACAGTAATAGGGCTGTCAAACCCCAGAGCATGCCCAGCACCAAGTCAGGATTCCCAAAACTTGTGCTTTGCAGAAAGACACAACCAGGAGAGAAAAGGTACAGGCCAGATTTTCAAAAGCTGGCTGGCACACTTCAACGTGGACATCCAACTCTCAGTGCTTTAACCACAACACATCCATCATGCAGGAGAGAGGAAATCTCACCGAACTTCAGTTTGCTATTGAAATTTTTGCAGAAGATAGGATTAGTTTCATGCTGTCTTGCAGCACAATTAAGTGCAACGTAAGGATAATTATTAAGTGAATTCTATTGCTAGCTGTCACAAGTGATAAATACAATGCATAATTAAACAAGCAGCACCTAGACTGCCTGGAGAAAACAATTATTTAGTGCTTTCATTAGGACAGACTCATTTCTCTCACATTTTTTTCACAAATCCACTGAAAAATCAACAGCTTTATATTAGTTCCTGTGGCTGTATCTGCCCAGAGAACAGACCCAACACGCACTGCCAGACGAGTGCTCACCTTGTGAGTACAGAAGGATCTGCATCTCCAGAAGAACACAGGTGAAAACCTGGACCAGGTTCTCCAGGCCCAGCAGCTCGAAGACCTCCCGCAGTGGGTAGTCAGAGAGCGGGAGTTCGTTGGGCCCTGGTCTCTGGCAAATGATGGGCTCATAAACCCCATAAAACTTCAGTGACCTCCCTGGGGGTGGCAGGGGCACCTCGTAGAGGATGTTGTGGATGTAGCTCTCCAGGGGCAGAGGAGGTGGCTGCTGGGATGTCACCGCCTTGTAGAGCTGTATCAGGAACTTCTTGCAGGCTTGCATGAAGGGCAGAGGGGTGATGAGGCAAATGCATTTGGAGACGTACAGTGTGTCTCTGCTGATGTCGTAGGAATTGTACCGCTGGAGCTTGGCAAGGGACGTGGCATCGCCCTCATCAATGCTGCTGGCCAGGGAGTCCATGCTGCATGAGGAAGAGGCGCAGACACTGCTGTATTGCTCTGCATTGTGCATCTGGTAGAGTGTTTGCATGGCTGTGCAGATCTGCTTGCTTGTGACCTCCTCATAGAACGTGAGCACAAACCCATATGTACGAGAGCCATCTTCTCTGGTGATGATGAACGAATGGAGCTGTGGATCTCTGTTGTCTGCCTGTGTCCTGAAAGACAGCCCTTTGGGCATACACAGCTAAGAAAAGAGAAAAGGAATAAATGTAATTATCAAAGCTACAATTTTATTTCATTATTTTTGCTTTACAGTCATGTTCTTATTTACCATAAAAGCCATGTATCATGAAATATAACTCCTCTGAAAAGAAGCCCAACAACAAACAGCCTAAAACTGATGCTACTTAAAAGAAGAGGTAGACATGACTGAAGAAAGGAAAACACCTTCCAAAATGACCCATCTATTAAGTCATTACAACTAACTTTCATTACTTTGTAAAATTATTTTCACTACTGGATAGTCTTTGTCTTATTTACTTAAGAATCATAGAAAGCATCCAGTTTTGGTTTTATTTGCATCTATTGTGCTCACGGTTCCCTTAAATCAGAGAGCCAAGAAAGTATCTTATACCACTGAATTCAAATTACACGGACTTCTTGAAATTCTTTCATCTTCCCTAATTTCCTTGAAAGAAATGAACCCCAAAACACACAACAATTGCCTGACAGATATCACATTGACTTTCTTCCTTAAATGCAAAAAATGACAAGAAGTGTGTGTATGTGGGAACACCCCAAAATCTATGAAGGCCTTGGTTTTTATTTACCACTCAGCAAAACCTTTCACAGTGATTCTGCTACCCTGTGTTTTTTTTCTGAAATACAGCCTTAGTGATAACTTGAGGCATTTTCCCAGGCATTCCTCAGGAATTCTACCAGCCATATAATACAAAACAGCAAAAATGCAACAAACTTGCTTGAATGTGCGTCAGCATGAAACTATGTTCTAGCTAAATCACTATGTTTATAAACTAAGAACTAAAGCTTCCTTTGTACCTTCTATCTAAAGAAATAAAAGGAAAGAGCGTTCTTTTTGAAAGAAAGCTTTCAAACTGTTCCTTCTATTCCAAAAGGTGACATTAGAAGCCAGCTTTCCCAAGGGATGCACCCATGACTGAGTGCATCTCCTAATATCTCACCTTTACCAGAAGTAAATGATTCTGATGGTGGAAGAGATCAAGGGAAATAATTATATATTTTCAGGCACATCCTACCCTGAACTTCCCCAGTGCACCTTGCACAGATCATTTGACAGCCTGATAAAGCTGCTACCAGCCCAGCTGGGATTTAGGCACTTCAGACTCCCTTCATGACATGTAGCGAACCCCTAAGTTATCTGGGGTAGCTCTCACGCATTGCTCTAAAAGGTAATGTATAGGGAAATAAGTAGTCTGGAGTTGGTAGAATTTAATTCAGTTGGTGGGTTTTGCTTACATAAAGCATGGAATTGCAGCTGTGCACCAAGCTGTGTGGTTCGGTTGATACGCTGGAGGGAAGGAATGCCATCCAGAGGGACCTTGACACGCTTGTCAGGTGGGCTGATGCCAACCTCATGAAGTTTAAGCATGACAAGTGCAAGGTCCTACACCTGGGTGGGAGCAATCCCAGGCACAGCTACAGGCTGGGCAGAGAAGAGATTCAGAGCAGCCCTGTGGAGAAGGACTTGGGGGTGCTGGTCGATGAGAAAATGAACATGAGCCAGCTTCAGTGTGCGCTTGCAGCCCAGAAAGCCAACCGTATCCTGGGCTGCATCAAAAGGAGAGTGACCAGCAGGTCGAAGGAGGTGATCCTGCCCCTTTACTCTGCTCTCGTGAGACCTCACCTGGAGTACTGTGTACAGTTCTGATGTCCTCAACATAAAAAGGACATGGATCTGTTGGAACAAGTCCAGAGGAGGGCCACAAGGATGATCAGGGGACTGGAGCACCTCCTGTATGAAGATAGACTGAGACAGTTGGGGCTGTTCAGCCTGGAGAAGAGAAGGCTGCGTGGAGACCTCATAGCAGCCTTCCAGTATCTGAAGAGGGCCTATAGGGATGCTAGGGAGGGACTCTTCCATTAGGGACTGTAGTGGTAGGACAAGGGGTAATGGGTTAAAACTTAAACAGGGGAAGTTTAGATTGGATATAAGGAGGACATTCTTTCCTGTTAGGGTGGTGAGGCACTGGAATGGATTCCCAGGGAGGTTGTGAATTCTCTATCCCTGGGGTTGTTCAAGGCCAGGTTGGATGAAGCCTTGGGTGAGATGGTTTAGTGTGAGGTGTCCCTGCCCATGGCAGGGGGTTGGAATCAAGTGATCTTAAGGTCCTTTCCAACCCTAACTATTCTATGGTTCTATGAACCATTTCTGAAGAGCAGCCACATTTTCATTGAAAAGGTTTATCGTTTTTATTGAGGCATTAACAGCAGTGCCATGGTTAAGACTTCTCAAATAAAAGTAAAAAAATTCTTGTTTCACACTTTATTATAATTTATTCTGCATAAGAAAATATTTCAATCTCTTTTTTTTTTGCAAGCTTGTTTAACAAAAAATTTATTTCTAGAATGCAGGCATTTAACTGCAGCTATAGCTTTATCAAATCCAATCAGACTGAAATCACAGGTTTTAATCTCAACACTATCAAAGACTGTCTTTCCTTTTTTTACAGAAAAATAGCCAGATAAGGGAATTGTACATAATGATACAATCAAGAACAGACAGGCATCAGGGAAATTCAGACCTGCTGAGAGTGTTTCAGAAAGCTGTTTTAAATAAATTTCCTCCAAGTCTTAATTATTATTCCTTTGTGCTTTATACACTGTGCATACACACACAAAGGGACACCGATCTATTACATTTCAGCCACAGCCTCGCATATGCAGACTATCAACATTTTAACACCCTGCTGCAAACCTTGGCACAGGCTGTTGTTAGACCTACAAGAGGACAAAGGGAAAGGCAAAGAAAGAAAAAAGATGGGAAGGGAAGAACTACCAAGAGTCACTTAAGAAGCTAAGATCAAAAGGAAGGCCCTGTGCTCATTTTCCAGCAACACAGAAAGCTTCAAATTTGCAGTTAATCCATGAAAACTTTCATCTTAGTGCCTTGGACATCAATCACTTCCCATCTCGTCTCTGTTTGTCACATGTGCCACAGGACAGTGCTGGGGAAGAGCAGGCGTGGGGCGTGCTAAGAGGGTTGAAAAGCTTTGACTACTGGTGAAGTTGGCTAACACTGAGAAAGCAGTCACAGAAAGTCACCCACCTTTATTGCACCTTTGTATAATGACAGAAAACTATCCAAGATTACTGATTAAAGGAAAGGATTTTGGTTCTCAGAGCATTTTACTATTTATATTTAACATATCCACCAGCAGAAAAATGTGGCATAAATCATACTTGCAATAAGGCGTATAATCAAGATGGGTTTGCAAAAACAAAAGGAAGCTGCACAAAGTCAGACAAAAAAGATACCAACTAATCCATAGCCCATTTTTGGAAGTGATGCGTAGGAGATGCCCTTTTCCTAAATGTAGAGGCAGGACAAACACAAACTGTAATCCCTCCCTCCTTCCTCCTCCCAGCCATCATCTATTGCAGATATTTCTGAACCAAAGGCTCCCTCTGGACCCACTGCCCATTAGCATTGGTTCACCTCTTCTCCATTAGATCCTCTATTTCACTTTTTAAGTCCCTGTATATTTTTTATGTTCACAATATGCCACAGCAGCCAGCTCCATACCCAAACTGCACCATGGGTGAGAGGGTGGAGTGAAAGATGCTTTTGTTTGTAAGCCTGCTCTTCCAAATTACACCGAGGAACCTTTAATTCTTTTATTTCAGTACATGAGATGTTAAACAGAAAATGCTTCCTCGGACTTCAGAAATACAGTCAGAGATTTATATACCTTGACGAACCATAGGGCTAAAATAGGAGGTTTATTTCCTAAAAATTTCACTTTGCTCTCTACTGAGAACTCAAGTTTGGTGCAACACATTACTTGCAGAGTGGCTACAGAAGATAGTACGTGACATTAGGCAGGGATAATCACAGAAAGCAGTGTGGGGTGGAAAGAAATACTTCCCTATTAAAGAGAACTCTGTACTTTGATACATACTTTGAAAGGGAGAGAAAACATGACTTGTAGTCACTGTGATTTCTTGGGACTTCAGGGGTTATTTTTAAAGTGACAGGATAGTTTCAGAAGGCAATTGAAATTCCTTAGGCATTCAGCAAAGCCAGAATTCTCACAAGTTAACCTTCAAGGATTTATGCATTTTCTTCTTTGAGGAAAATTGCTTCTGGAAGCTCACATAAAGCAAACACATAAGCAGAACTAATGCAGCAAGGCAAGATCAGAAAGGCCAATAATTGCCTCAAGGGATTTTGTGGAGGTGGATATTACTTTAAATGATGTTTCAGATCAAAACAATAAAGCAGTTTTCCAAAAGATGATTTAAAAGACCATTAAATACTGCTGCTGTTAGTAAATGCTTTTTTTTTCCTCCAAGACACACTGCAAATGAAAGACATGTTCTTCAGCTATTTGATTTCAGCTGAATGCAGCTCAGTTCAATTATTTTATTTTAATAGGTTTCCTGCTGATTTTAATATTCCATTTTTGTCCAATAATATGATCACACTTCATGAATACTAGACATTTTCATCTGTAACATAAGCGACAAACAATGCAGCAATTCCAGCTATTACCTCTTGCTGCCATATTCCTGCTGCACACCCCTCACATCACTTCTCCTCTGAACACTCCCAATTCAAAAGCAGAATTTAAAGGCATAAATAGCCTTAGTAGCTATTACCATCTGAACTGTGCTGATGAAGCATCATTTTGAGTCCTTCATGCTTTCTGTTTAAGCAAAGTGATGTGGAGACCTGCTCAAATATCTCACCATCTCCATCAGTGCACATCTGGAAGCAGAGGACAGAAATCCCCAGCTGTCAATCAGTGGAAATTGAAATGAACTTCAGATTTCTACACCTTAATGATTGCAGAAAAGTTCCAAAAGCATTTTGCATTGCAAAAGCCATTTTATTGTGGGTTTTATGTGATCCCTCTCTCTCCATCTCCTGGGCGAGGGCCAGGAGATTCTCTGGACTTCATACCTGCACTCTACAATGCGGTTCGTTCTGTTGAGAAGTAGCTAGGATGTAGTCCAGTGGATCATCGCTCTTTCAGCTGCCACTGCCCCTACTCCTCTCTCCCCTATTCATGTGACTTAACCACACAGATACTCACATCAAATTTAGCCAAGAGGAAAGACATGTACAGAAGATGTATTGGTGCAGAGGTGCCATTAAAACCAGCTACCCAACAAAAGCTGAGGTTTCAGTAAGTTCCAGCTTCTGCATAAAGATTCCTCTTTCCCTTGTTGTACACAGCATCAAGGTTTGTGTACTCAAGAATTTCACATGGGTATTAGTATCTTAAAAATTCTTTGGTTAGCCTCCTTTCCACCCATGGATGCGTATCCTGGGTGACTGCATCCCTTCTCACCCAGTCATTGAGATGGTGGTTAAAATTGCTTCATCACACAGTATGAAACTCAAACTGAAGAGGGAAATGCAGCATTTTACATTTGCTGTGCCTAAAAGTATTCTGTATTTTCATATTACCTCTTCCACAACAGCTTTTCTATCAGCATGCCTAGTGCATGCTCTTAGTCCCAGCAGAAGCAGCTAGCTCATCACATCACAAGGACTGGTTGCAAACAACCCAGGAACCACTTGAGTGTTGGAGTTGTCAGGAAACACCTTGAGAAGAGAGTTTCTCTACCTACCATATTGACAGCATCCTGGTCAAAGGGGTTCCACTCAATGTTCTGAGGATAATGGGCCAAAACTTTGGACTTGAAGGTTCTTCTTAAGGGACTCTGATCGAAATTCTCTCCTGTAACAAAGGAAGAAAGAATGATTTGTCACAGCAGTGAGGCTTCAGAGAGAGCTGGCCTGGGCAGCTGCTTTCACTTCATGGTTGGGATGGGGTTTTTTGTGAAATCTGATGGGCATTTTCTCTCCCAACAGATGCACTACTTTTTGTACAAGAGAACAGAGAAAAGATGCGCTTTCAGTCTGACCTTACCCTCCTTCCCACAAAATCTTACTACAGTTACAAAACAGCTTCCAGCTTAGTATTTATGGTATGGAAACTTGCTGTTAAGAGAAAAATTACTGCTGGAGTTTTCTTGAAAAAGACCCCACATCTAACTGAATTCCTTCCCCTGTAGCTTGAATATCTAGTGATGGCTTTACCTACACGCTACAAGAGGCACTTCCCTCAAGCTCGTTAGAAACTGTCTTAGGGTCAATAAAAGGTATGAGCACCTCTCAGCTCTATAAATTATTCAGGGATTCATTATAGATCTTTTTTATATCACAAGTCCTGGGTGAAGATTAAACATTTCTTTTTTTCTACATCAGATTTCAAGGACAGACTTTTTCACACAAAGAATCCAGCAAGTGCAAAGAAGAAGATTGAAATCAGACTTCAAGCAGAAATGCATCCAGTTATCAGCATACAAATAATGTATTTCACAGGCATCTTATTAATGGAGTTTCCACCACTGGATAGCCTACAGCATGCAACACAGTAATCAAAACAAGAAGTTCTTAAAAATCTATTAATTGTATTACCATCTACTACACTTTCTCAGGTATCTCAGGTTACTAATTCCAGGTTCCTTGCTTTAAAGACTACAGGTGGATCTTTCCTGTTCAGTTCCTTTCTCATCTGAGAGAAATGAATGGGATGAAAGCCTTAAGCTCACAATGCGAAGTGTTTTTCATGAAATCATGCTTTGGAATCAAAGGCTCCTTTTGGAATGCCTTAGTGTTACCAAGATACTTTTAAAAATGTTACTGAAATAGAATTGGATTTCCTTTCTTAAAAATTAAAAAACAAACAAACAAAACCCCCTCTGTATTTCATTATGTATTTCATTAATGAATGAATGAAAGGTTTTTAATGAGAGGTTATTTTGGATGAAAACATAATCACTTGGCAAGCTCTAAAGGCAATATTCCTGCAGAAAAGCTAAACTGCAGGCCACTAACCTCACTAACCCCCTCTGAAGGTAACATGGGCTGCAGGAGTACAATTTGTGCTTGCTGATTTGCGTATGTCAACTCAACCTTTGTGCAGCAAGCAGCCTCTGAGTGATGCTGCAAGATTCACAGCTCAGCAGCTACCCGAAGGTTTCTGAGGCCACAAGCCATTTGGCATGTGCCCTTTGCTCCTTGCAAAGCACAGTCTGGCTCAGAGTGGATTAATACAAGGAAATTTCTGTACAAACTGATACCTGAAAGCAGAGCTTCGGTCTTTGCCTGGCAGAACTTAGGAACTGCAGATAATTGTGGGGAACAAAAGGTAACAGAGAAACACAGTGGCTGCTCATAAGGCAAAAATTATCTAAGCAAAGTTTTAGGAGGGATGAAAACCATTCATTGTATGAATCCCTTAACACATGTTCAATGTAGAGGGCAGAACCTGTGCTGTCCCTCAGGGGCTGCAATGCCAGGGCCATCACAGCAGTGCCTGCACAGGAGGCAGGTGGAGGCAGAGGAGGTAAAGGTGAGGCATTCCTTACAGCAATGCCAGCCACCTGCTTGGCTAGGACAGGGAAGCAGAGGCTTGTGCTGGAGCTCCCCTTCACGAGGGCTTGTGTAGGCAGGCAGAAATTCCTCGAGATGAATGACTCAGCTGTGCTGGGACTGCACGTCTCCCTGCTGTACGAGGTGGTGCACTGAGTGAGCTCATGAGCCAGGTGGAGAAGAGGTAAACAGCCCTTCCAACAGCACTCACTCCCAAATTAATTCAGAGAAAGGGTTTTAAATCTTTTCCTTTCCAAGGCATCACTGAGATTTTAAAGATACAAGTGTTCTTATACAACAGTTCATTTTTAACACAGGATTCAGACACATTGCAGCATTAGTTTTTTGTAGCACTACGCCGGTCTTGCTTGATTTTGGTGCGTAACCATGGGGGAGAAAAGTAAATAAGCTTCTGCAAGAATATTCTCTGCTTGGTAGGAGAAAAAGTCCAAGATGATGCAATGCTGCACCCATATTTCCTGGGCAGGAATAAATGGAAATGGTAAAATAAGGAGCACCTGAGGGAATTGGGGATGTTTAGCCTGGAGAAAAGGAGGCTCAGCGGAGACCTTACTGCCTGAAAGGAGGTTGTAGCAAGGTGGGTATTAGTCTCTTCTCTGAAGTAAGAAGCGATAGGACAAGAAGAAATGATCTCAAGTTGTGCCAGTGGAGGTTTAGATTGAATTTTAGGCAACATTTCTTCACCAAAAGGCTTGTCAAGCACTGGAACAGGCTGCCCAGGGAAGTGGTTGAGTCACCACCCTTGGAGGTATTTAAAAGATGTGTAGATGTGGCACACAGGGACATGGTTTAGTGGTGGACTTGGCAGTGTTAGGTTAACTATGTGAGGAGATTTCACAGCGGAATCCAGCCTGCTTCTGGAATTGCTCAAGGCAAACCAGGAATCCAGCAAAAGCTTATGCATCACAGAAATAAAGAAAACTGGAGGTATCAGCTAACCTGGATCAAATTAAACGCCATGACAGGGTTTAGCTGATAACATCTGGCAGGCTGGACCAGACTTGCTATTAGCTGCTATGGCAGTCCAGAGCACAACCTCCACAAACATCTTCTCCGTGCTCCATTACAAAGCTCAGACTGAAGTACAGAACACCAGAGATCATTACTCTGGCAGAACATGACAGCAGAACAACCTCTTATTTTGGTCCAGATGTTCTTTGTGGAGGCATTAAAGATATTAATGTCATCCACCACAAAATAAAAATCCCAACAAGCAAAGCCAGCAAAAATTCTGTCTACAGGTATACACTTAAACATACCTGGCAACATCTTTAATTCTTAATATCAAACAGTAATTAATGGGCTTGCATAATCAGATAAATATGCATGAGGTTACTTCCTAATTAGATCTTCAGTCTTTCTCACATCTGACAGAGTTTACCTTACAGCTGTGAATTAGCAGAAAGGCAGGTATTGATGCTAAATTTGTTTGGATGTTTCTATTAAATGTTCGAAGAGCATCTGGATGACTTCATTAAGTTCTCCACCGCTAACAGCGAGTAAAATTGCTGGAGTCCAAGTTTCTTTAAAGGTTTCCTTTATCATGACAAACCATTACTGTAACATGGTGGATGTTAATCGGGTAATTTGTGTGGTTCAGAGGCACTCATCACTGCTGTAGTTCACTGGTTGAGCCCTTCACAGATGCTGTGGGGGCCAGTTTTTGACCATACATCGTATGGGTGTTGTAAAAACACCTTCTGCTTGAAAAATAGCTTCCAGTGATGACAGTCAACAACTAAAAGATTAATCACCTTGGCATTAGCACATAACTGTAATTGGGACTGCAGCAGCAATGCACATTAATCACATCATTTACTGTTTACGATGCCCGTGCTCACTTACAGGCACCACAGAAACTGAGGGAGGCTTTGCCCCGTGCTCTGGGTGTGCTCAAGAGAGCCCTGGCTTCAGCACACCTAAGATGTGGCATTTCAGGGAATGTGGCTCTGTGTGCTTAGATTGAGTAGAACAGTAAACCTGCTTTCTCCTAAATAACTTCCACAAGCACCCAGAGGTGGAGGGATATGTGCAGGCAGTGTTACCTATCTGTTCTGGTAGCACAGCTTAAGCTCGTGGTGGAGCAGAGGGCAGCTGTTGCACGGTGCTAGCTGCTGTTTTGCCTTAACTTGTCCTCTGGCATCAAAGTGGCACTGGCAGACTCTGGAAGCATGTCAGAGTGCTCAGAGATGTTAGGGAAGTGATCCTGGAAGGCTTCTCTGTGGGAAACTATCCTCCCCTAGTTTGGTGGCTCAATTACTAATTAACCCTTAACAATTTTATCTGGTAAAGAAAGTTGTAGTTATTTCAAAGTTAGACAAAAACTACATCTCTGGAGATGTAAGAGCAGGGAAGGCCTTGATTTCTTTCAGTTCTTGTTATTGAATATCCTTTCTCTCACATTTTCCCTCCATTTTGACAGGCAATACTCTGGCAGCATCTGGAACCAGTGGAGGAGAACAAGGAGTATTTGCTAATAATCCACTGTAATCATGAAAAATTGAGGCTTTCAATTGGCTTTTGGAAATAACCAATAATTTGTATGCTGCTGAAAATACCCATCCAGTTGTTTTGACAACAGACGCGGCTAAAGCCTTTTGTTAATGAAGCACTAGCGCTGCTTTAAGAAACCCAGCTTCCCAAAACCAGCAGTAAAAATGCCCTTGTAGGCTGACAACATGGACACATTTTATCCAGAAAAGTAAATGGCACAAAGAACTCACCTTTGCAGAGTCTCCGCAGGGCCTGCATTTTACTATGGCAGTGGTTTTTAAAAGCATATAAAATAAAAATCACACACACACACACAGAGAAAATATGATTTTCTCAGTCACTGATCATAAAACAAAAGAGAAGAGCCAAGAAACCACACTGGAGTGTATCAGTTGGTCATTAGCTTGAAAGGACACAACATGGCACCCTCCATACAAAGTTGCCTCCTGGGAAGCTAGGCAGGGCAAGTTTTTAGAGGAAATCCATAATTTAGGAAAGAAAAAGTAGAAGGGTATGACAGAAAGCAGCCTGCATGTCAGGGTGAAATGCCATTGTTTGGCCAAACTAGCAGGAAACAGCCCAACTCTCACCATAATGAGATGAGAGATACAGACTGTGACAGCCAGCTCCACACTGACAAGCAGCTGGAAGAGAATCACAGGAAGCAAAAACTTCTTGGCAAACATGAGGGAAGTGATCTGGACTGAAGGGTACCTGATATTATCAGCTCTCAGCCTTGGTAGTTGTGAACTGCTGAGTCACATGTGGCATGGAACATTTATTTAGCTGTTATTCTAGGCAAACAGCGAATTTCCATCAAATCTACTATGTGCTTTTAAGTGCTTTCTTGCTAGCTTCCCAAACAGGACTAGCAAGGCACATTAAAAATGAAGCAAGTATCAAACACAAATTGGATCCGTATTCTAAAATATTCATGGCCAGACAAGAGTGCTATCTATGAATACAGAGAGAAACACAGTACTTGATGTGTGGCCACCCTTCCTACAAACAGCATGTCTCATTGTGGAAGATGGCTCTCAAAGGCAAATCAAAAACTTTGAATGGAATCCTTTCACTTTCAGAATATTAAAAATTAAAAGTCATTCAAGTACTTTTCAAAATTGCATAGAAAGTGTCAGACTCAAGTTCTATTTCAGCTGGGTCCTACAGCCTATGTAACAGAACTTTGAAACAACTTGTGCCTTCCCTTTGAAAGCACTCATTTTTAAAGGGAGACCTAGTTTCAAATTAAAAACAAATGGGGTTGGATGCTAGATCAAGAAAACTGTGCTAATTTCATTTCAAAATTAAAAGATTTCTCAAAATCAGAAAAAACAAGCCTGATCCATGTTTGGGATGAAGGATACAATTACTAGGGAAATGCAGCTACAGTTGTGAGGTTGTCAGTCACTGTGGCTTTCATGTGGGTGATCATATTTAAATTTTAACTAATTATCACAGCTACAGGGGCATACAGACGTATGTTCCAAATAGGCAGAGGCATCCTCCACCCTGGTCCAGGGAATGTGAGCTATCTGCTGCTCCTTCCAAGCTCTGGAACGTGGAGAGGAATGCTTGTGACTACAGGAATAAAAATATCTTTTGCTCCTTTAGAGGAGTGTGCTGTGAGCACAATTATGCACCTCATGGTGACAGCCTCTTTGATAGCTATTTCTAATTAAAAGTGTTCGGCACATCCAGCTATGTTCTTTCCCTGCAGACTGCACTTGGTTAAGCTTATGGGATAACTGCATGCATGACCCTGCATTAGAACCAAGTAATATACAGCGTTTGAGTGGGAACAGGAATAACAGGGCTTGGCTGGGGAATGATGAATCTTGTTAATTGTCAGGTTCAGGAACTGGCTAGTTTAAGTAGTGCAGAAAGTGTTCTCTGCTGCTTTTCTTCTGGGCATCACCAGGACACCAAGGTGGCAGCAGCAGGCTAGTTGGAGTTCAAGGTAGTATTTGTGGCCACATATTAACTCATAGTAGTATTAACCCAAAGGTAGTATTTGTGGCCAAACATTCTCATAACCTTAGAGCAAAGGAAGAAAATTATATGGAAGAGAGGACTGGGACAAGGCAGACAAACAGTTTTCATTCCAAAATTTAAAGATCTGATTTGTCTGTAAGATGGTGGCGGCTTTTGCAGGGGTTAGGGAGGGAGCAGGGTCTAACCTACCTCTTGCATGTCAATATGTAAACGAACTGATGGATTGTATTTAAACAGGAAGCCATAGTGGTTGTGTACCCTATCAATACATCTGAATGATTTGGCTTTTTTCTTGGTGTGTATCTGTGTGGACCCCATTAACATTGCTATTTAAATCTAGACTGCAAAACATGCTTCCTTGAGGTGTCAGGAACCCTTTGGGTTTTGTAGCAGAAATTGGTGAAGCTGGACCTTCCAGTACCCTTTGTTCACAAGTGTGCATAACTAAGCATGGTAGGATTGCTGGGTAAGTATCCTTTAATACAGCCTCACACAAGGTATTGTTCAGTCTTTACCAAGCACACAAAGATCCAGCATATCGTATAGTCACCAATACACCTGACACCACTAGTGGCATTTTGTTGGAAAGGGGAAGCACATCTGCCAAGACAGCTTCAAGAAACAGAACAAAAATCACCAGATATTGATTTAAATTAGGTAAAAGAATGAAAAAGTCTGTGAGTTTTGGTTTCAGTTTTGAACTCTGATCTTTAATTTGATTCAAGGGGAGTTGGAAGACTGAAAACAAAGAGATAGAGAGGGCCTGGTGATTGTTTTGTCCTTAACCCCTCTTTACCTGAGGTTTTGTCTGCAGTATCTGAGCTCTTGCCATGGAGTTCTGCTTCTAGCCATTTGTACAAGACTACACAACATAAAAAACAGATAAAAAAAAAGCAAGTATGAACAAAATGAAAAGATACATACAAGTACTGGGGAAGGGAAGAAATGTGAAGCAGACATTAAACACTCCCCCTTGCAACCTCTCTTCCCCCCCACTACTGGCAAAGGGTAAACCCATGTGACAAATAAAGCCCTTCATGACTGTATTACTACAAAGGTGTTGAATGCAATGACAGACATTGTAGAAATGCTTGTCAAAATTAGTAACAAGATTAAATTCTGCTACTTCAAACAGCATGCTGCCATACAGCTTCCCTAGTATGAAAGACATCTTTGTTCATATATTGAGCCATTCTAGAACCTGTGAAACACAGGGGGGAAAAACACTAGCTCTTTAACTGGTGTTGAACACTTTGGTGTAAACACAGTCTTCTTTAGTATCACACTGTTAAGCTGTGTTGCTACACCTTCAGTGCTGCACTGCATGCCATTTTCTGGGCTTACTGAAGTTACCTAATAGCCCTAGTCACCATTTCTGTCTCATAAGAGGCTGGTTTTAGACTAAAATTTGAATAAATAAACTCTGTTTAGAACCTGGATGAACAATTTTAATCTCTTCCAGTAAAAGCTACCCCAGTAGTCACTTTTAGCAGAAAAGCATCCTACAAACACATCTAACTGAGTTTTCTTCCAACTGGTTTGTTCATCTCCTGCAGGAAAACAAAAATGTTTTCACAGACACCATGGCATTCCTTTGTCAAAAAATAAAATCCCCAAATCCCATTCGCACTCCACAATGCAGCATTACACAATCCCCCTCAAGTTAAACCTATTTTTATAAACCTGAAGCACATGTGGAAGCTGCAACACCATTGGCCTGTCTGGTCATTCAGTTTGTAGGTGTAAATTCAGAGTATTTCCACCGTGACCTCCTACTTCAGCTGTTAATCCATGCACCAGTTCAGAGGATCCAGAAAATGCTGCCAAGTCTGTATGTCCTGGGAAGGCAGCCCTCGAGAGAGGGCACAGGAGTGCTTTCAACATAGATTTTTAGAAGAGAATTTGTATTTTAGAATAATTTTCTCATTTCTTCAGGAGGCGCCTGAAGGTAACCCACATTTCAATGTGCAGGATGATGTTTTCCCAGTCCAGGTGTCTCAAGGTATTCCATTCTACTTTGGGTCTGTTTGAAGTTAAAAGTTGCATAAATTTTTAAATTAAAGGAAACAAAACAAACAACTGTCAAAGCTCAAGATTCCCCCTGCTAATGGCCCACACCTACACTGCCCTTACAAGCATCTTTGCCAGCTCCCCCCAAAAGTCCTTTACAACATTATCATTCAAAATGAATTTGGTACCAGGCTTCCATGGAGTTAGCAGCACCTCTGCAATAGGAAGAGCAAAAGGAAAGATGGAAAAACTCATGAAGGGACGGACAACCAGATGCACTGGCGCAGGTTCTGCTTTTGCCACCCGTTTCAGTATTATGACCGTCTAATTATCAATCATATAGCTGACCAGTCACAGAAGGTACGCAAAAACTTCTGCACAAGCAGTCAAACGAAAGAAGATCATTGACAACAGTGGTATAAATGCAGAGCCACGACCACTGTTGTACAGCCTAATCTTTCATACAAATACACTGCAATGGAATACAACTATTGTCAGAAACGAATTACACTTAGGAAAGGCTCAGTATTTCAAATACCCTTTAAAAAAGATTTGTTCACCTAAAAGAATATTGCACAAGTCTAAATAAAGAGAAAAAGGTTCTAACATGAGCAGTTTATTTTGTCATGATCCCTTCCTTCTGACCTTGATTAAATACTTAACTATCTGCCTACAGAGTAACATTATACAGCACCAACAATGTCAGGTCTTAAAATAGCCACAAGTCCCAGCTGCCAACAGACCACAGAGTCCCCACTACACTAGTAAACAAGTAAGAATTACACCATCCCTTTTACATAAAATTGCATCATAATCTTGTCAAATCCTGAAAGTCATGACTTACATTACATCAGTTTGGGTGATTTTTTGTGGTGGGGTGGAGGGAGTTTAATAAGCACGTATCTGAGGTTCACTGATCCTACACAATCACCTTGGAGTCTGTCTGCTAAGGCTGGAATTTATCAGCAGGAAACAGTGGAACGGGTATAAAATTGGACCTATACTTACAGGGAATTTATTTTCTCTAGAAATCAGGGTGTGTGGAATTCACTTACCCTGTCCATGCTGCCATGCAGTCTTGCCAATCACGAGCTCCTAAATCACTACTAGGTGATATACACAAAGTGTGTCCCAGAGCTCCTTGGTCTATCCTGTTTATATACAGGAAGTGGAATGTTTTATTTCTTATAGCACTTTATACACAAATCCGCTATTCATTTTGAATACTTGATATGGAACAAATGAGCATTTTTCCTAATGGAGAGAACAGTCCAAACGGTAATTAAAAGTTCATTTAAATTTAAGTTTCATACATCATTCTTCTTAGATTGCCTGACAAAGTTTTAGTTAGTTACATAGAAAATGGGCAACGTACATACCCCTATGGAACTGAAGGGTTTGAAATCCATCTCTCAGTTCCCAGAGGAACATTAACCTTGGCAGTGTGAAAAGTGTTCAAGCAAGAGCAAGACATCAGCTCAGGTTCTTAAATGCAGCAGGATGCCAAGGCATGAACACAGACTGAACACAGAATGAAGTATCCAGTCATGCCTTCTGCACAGGATCCCTTTCATACTTACGTTTTCTACTCATTTACAAGGGCAGGATCTAATTCAAATGTGCCAAATTTCTGTTTTAAAACATGATGCTGCATTCTCAGACTGGTTTTGGAAACAGGCACTCACAAACATCATTTTCAATTCAAATGCATCTTAAAGCAGGTGTTGTCCTCTACTCCACTGGGACAGAGGTAGTACAACAGTCCTGTCCCAAGATCTGCTTTATTACAGTTGGTATTTCTGGAGATGAGTAAAGAAAAACCCTAATAAAACAAACCACAAACAACCAGAACATGTCATCCTAAAAATCCCTGTATTACTACTGTTTCGGTTTGTGTGCAAGAATGCAGGAAAGAAAAGGGAATTTTTCAGTAAATTTTGCTTTGGGGTTTTATTTTCACAATTATAGCACATTCAGTTACCTTTTAAATGGGGCTGTGTTAAGATAGATGCACATAACATCATGAACCAGTATCAGTCTCCCCTGACACACAAGGATGGCACATTTCAGGTGTTTTGTTACATGAAGTTAGAAGCAGTTTTATCAAAGCTGTGTTTATATCACAGCAGAGTGTGAATACACTCACTGATAACACCTTCTGCCACCCTAATTAAGCTCTGCCTGCAAATCAGTACAAGGAAAGAAAGAAGCTTCATTTGGCCCAGGCCATCTTCAGCACTAATCAACTCTGACATAAACAGAGCACAAAGATGCCCATACTGCAGCTTGAATAGTCAGCTGTGCCTGATTTAGGGTTCTGCTTTTTAGCAGATTTCTTTTTACCCATCTTGCACAGGCTTAAGGCCTCAGCTCCCTGAACCTAGCACTGTCACACTGGGCAATAGACTTCTCTGCTTTAAGGGAAACCCTTGCTTTCTGATGTCCCCAAGAGCTGTTCCTCGGTGCTGAGCCACAAGGAGGATCCCAAGGACTGTGACTGGTTTTTAATCGGCACTCCCCAGGAGCACAGGCTGTGGTGACCAGAAGGAAGCTATCCCCAGTTTCAGAAGGTGGCTCTTCTTCAAACAGCACAATCCACACAACCCAACAGTAGCACTGAAGCTGGCTCCTTGAAACATCCTGAGCACAGACAGCATCTTCACACTTCTTGAAGAGCCAGCCCACAGCTGTGAAGTTCAAACAGCTGGTGTTATCAGTGGGGCAAGAGGTGGTTTTAGAGAGGGTGGACATTGAAATAGCTCCTCACTGTACCAAGTTACTTTTTTTGCATACCTTTACAAGCAGAGTGTTACAGCAAGGCAATGCTTGTTTATCAAAGGCCGCAGCTGCTAAGCTTTATGGTTTTGATGGGAAAAGGGGCTGGCAAAGAAAGAACTTTGCTTGTAGTCAGGAAGGCTCTTTTATCAGCACAAAGCAGAAACACTCCCTTGTGTAGCACAAACTGATTTTGTCTAGGGTTTTTTGAGAAACTGCTGTTTAAGCTGCTGCCAATAAAGAATTGTCCTTATGACAGTCTCCAAGAGCCCATCTTCTGCCAGTTTTCAACAACTGAATCCTTTCAGAAGAAGAAGAAAGGCCAAAAACTTTCTGCATGCTGAAAAGTCACAAGAACCCGCAGGCAAGGCTGGAAGTTACCAGAGCTCCCGGATGAAGAAGGGTGGTGAGCAGGAACGAAGATGCAGGCAGACAAGTACCCACTGCCCACACAGCAGTATTGGTACTTACAAGTGATACTGCCACTTAAGAGCTACCCAAGGAGCCATTTCAATCTGGAGATTGCTCTCAGCTGTTTCAGCCCAGCTGTCCTACAATAATTGGAGATCAGCATATTGCTGCAAATGATTCTACTGTGGGCAAACTGGCCACTGGAGGCACAAGACATTTGTACAACATACTGCATGATGCAGTTCTTATTAGCCTTGGAAAAAACAGCAATGAAGTTTTGTCAACTAAAAGCTTTAAGAGGCAAAAACACCATTACATTGAAAGAAGGATCAGATCTTGGAACTACCCAGTTAAAATACCTCTTCTGCCACAAACATCTTTGCAGGAACCTACATGTCTTGATCAACACCACCTGCATTTAGAAACTGTTTGAAGAACAGGCTTCTGCCAGTGAGTTTACACAAGGGATCATTAAGAAGCCATCAGTGCACAGTAATTGCACATCTAAACCACATGAAAAATATTCTCCATGCTTAAGCAAACCTTAAGTAAACCATGATAGTTAAATACAGACAAAGCATAAACAATCAGATTTATGCTTTATCACTTCTGACCATTTTGTGGCCAGTTTCCAAGTCTACTGAAAATGCAGAAAATTGAAACCAG